GACAGGGCGGAGAGACGAGGGAGTACGAGCAGCGTGACGAGTCAAGCCAGCTGCATTTCTGTATTCAGTAATGCTTCTGCGATTGACATTGCTAGCTGCAATGAACATCGAGATGAATGCGTGAAGCAGCGGGCGGAAGAGGCAGCAAGCATTCTAGAAATGGAAGAAGAGGTCAGCAAGATGCTGAAGTCCTGCGAAGTCCAGAAGAATGTCAATAGGACAATTAAGGATTGACTTAGAAGCATAACATCGCTCATACGGGATGTGAAGGAGAAGCACGCAGCAGCGTCCAGAAAAGATGAGAAGTTCTACCAGTGGTTAGCCTGGTCAGAGGATGCACGAAAAGACCGAAGAATGAGACGTGACCGTTTTAATGCAGTAATGCTTAAAAACGTTGTCCTGGAGTCTCAGAAGCGGAAGAGAAGTGATCCTGAGAGTACGAAGGACCCAAAAAAGAAGAGGGAGGAGGGACCTTCTAGAAGGTCCAAAGGTAACGTGACCAAACCGGCACCAAAGCCAAATCCAGTTAAGAAGGGAAGAGCCACAGTGGTCGTCAAAGTGGCTAAAGGAGCTACCTTCGCCGAAGTGCTGGCGAAAGTTCGAAAAGAGGCTGACCTGGAGGCCAGTCAGACAAGGGTTGTAAGAGCGTTACCCACTATAAAGGGAGACCTGCTCATTAAAATTGGGGGGTCATCAAACAAGAAGTTGTTTACCGAAGAGGTGACAAAGGTGATCGGCGATCTGGGTAAGGTGCAGATGGCGGACCGGCGAACTACGTTGGAAATCCGCGATATGGATGCCCTTACAGAAAAAGATGACGTACTGTGTGCCCTGGAGAAAATTTCTACGGTACCAGTAGGAAGGTGACGGTTCTAGGACCAAACAAGCGAGGAGTAAAGCTCGCTATCGTGGTCACCAATCAGGAAGACGCTGATAAGCTGGAGAAAATTGGGCACATAAAGATTGGGTTCGTCTCCTGCAAGATAAGAAGCAGAACTATGGTCACAAGGTGTCATAAGTGCCTTGACTATGGCCATCTAGGTAGACATTGCCAAGGTGTAGATAGGTCAGCTGCGTGCTTCAAGTGCGGAGAAGCAGGCCATAAGGCAGCAGATTGTAAGAAGAGCCCATGCTGCTTCTTATGCCAGGCAAAGTTCGGCGAGAAGGAGAATATCCAACACGTCGCCGGATCAGGTCGGTGCAAGGTCTTCAGGACTGCCTTAGAGGAAGCTAAGTAGACCCTGTCAAGAACAAGGAGGAAATAATGGCCAGAAGAAGAGCGGCACGGAAGAGTCGCGCCAGCGACTAAATGGGACCATCCATATGCGAAGTCTGAAGCCGTAAGGTAGTTCCGTAGGTGGATAGAAGGTTCGAAACCCAGGGGAATCAAGAAGAGGTTTTAGTCGGTATTGCGACTGCCGTAAAAAGCAGGTATGTGAGGTTTCTTTTTTTTCCTCGCATTTTGTGCGAGCCCGACATACCCCAGGTAAGTGGGATATTCCTGGGCATGCATAAATGCATTTCCTCTTCTCCTCCGTGAATAAAAAAAAATATAAAAAAAATAATAATAAATAATAATAATAATAATAATAATAATAATAATTTCTTTAGAAAAACCTTTATTTTTTATAGTTAAACCAGGTAATTTTTGTTGAACAAAATTTTTATGCTCTCGAACTGTTGTTTATCAGAATTTCTGTTTAACCCACTCTCTAAATCTGAATAAGTGAAATTTCACTTATTTTAAGTGAATATTCACTTATTCCATGTTTCAAAACTCTTCCACGTAGAATAAGTGAATATTCACACATGAAATAAGTGAATTACATTCACTTATGAATAAGTGAATATTCAATTATGAGATAAGTGAATACTCAGACATTAAGAAGTGAATGTAAATAAATAATCAGGATCAATATTATATAAAAAAAATATTTATTTACTATCAACTATTTAACAATCTCTTCTCTTCTCATTATCAGTCTGAAACTTATTAACATATCAATTTTTCAACTTTTTTAAGATAAATTCCCAAACGGTGACCCATCTTAATATTAACCGCAAGCAATGTCGCTTAACTTTGATGATCAACGAGAAACACTACAATGCCACTTAATAAGTTGCCTTATACTCATTGAAAATTATTGGGTGATACTTATAAAGAGTTAGTTTATTGTGTTCTACTTTAACGTTTTGTTTAAGATTTCTCTTTTTATATATGTATATGTGACTGTCCACGAGAAAACAGGGCTTAGCTCTAAAAAATCAATTTTGAGTTTTTATGCTAATCGATAGATATTATATTGCTTTTTCAAATGCAAAAATCAAAAGTTGTAAATTGTCAATTACTTTTGACAATACAACGTTTTAAAGATGTTATATTCTTTATTCCTTCGTTCTGCTTCTACTTCAATCACTCGCCCTGTGAAAGCTAAGCCCTGTTTTCTCGTGGACAGTAACATATAAATACTTAGTAAATAAAAAGTTAGTTATTAGATTACTGTTAATATAATATTTAACTGTCTTTTTTTTTAATTTTATTAAATTTTAAATGACAATTTTTATAATTAAATAAAATAAAAAATTTCTAATATATTAACTGAAATGATAAAAACATTGTTTTTAAACATTTAAAAGTAGGTATAAATAATAAATTGTAATATAATGCGCAGATGAATTTCTTTTTAACTAAATATTTTACTTATACATAAGTGCGGATTTCACTTATTGATAAGTGAAAACAAGTTCACTCATAAAAAAGTGAATATTTCGCACTTATGTATAAGTAAATTCTACTTATTAATAAGTGAGAAAAAGGTTCACACATGAAAAAAGTGAAAATTTCACTTATTCAGATTTAGAGAGCACTTTTGAAAGTGTTGAATGTTCCGTAAAAAATTATTCGTATAAGTTTTAGTGTTTTGAAATACACAGGTCTCTATATAGATATATTGTTTTGTATATTTCATTTAAATGAAGTAAATTAAGGCAAACGACGAGTTTTTATCATTTATAGAAATTCCATTTCACAATTTTCTATATGAGACGATCCACGAGAGAAGGGACCTTATTACAAGAGTAAATAAGATGCCTTCTCTCGTGGTGCGTCACATATTTTCAATGCACTGAATGAAAATGAAGTTTATAAGAATTCTATAAATATACATCAGTATTAAAACATCTTCCTCAATTTTTTCTGACGGGAAGATAATGTATTCAAAGGATAATTCTTACTTTAAGTATAGATTCCTATCTCTGTATATCAAGTTTATGTTGTGTTCATAGAATAGATTCCTTTTTTACAAAATATGATTAATAATAATAGTAGGTAATTATATATGTGCAGTCTGGAACTCCAACATAGTCATAATCATACATGCATGCATAACAATACCGTTAGACGGTCGATGCATAAAAGCAGAAATTTCTTCTTCCTTTTTATAGTCAGATATATATATATATAACTACTTTGATCCCTGACCTTTCGTAACCTTTTAGAAATTCCACTATATTGAAATTTTTTTAATATTTTTTCAAATTTTCACAAACGTTTAATTATTTTAATGATCATTTATTAAATTGTTATTCCAAATATAAGAATGTATTCTAGGGTTCCTATTTAAAAATATATAATCTCTGAATTTTATTTTTGTGGCTAGAATATAGATTACTTTCTTTAAATAAAAAAAGATTTAAATTATTGAAAAAAATATTCTTCACAGAAAAAGCAAAGTATGAAACAGATTACACCTTAAAACCAAAATGATTTAAAAGTAGCCTATTTTTAAGTTTAAAACTGGATTATGTCCGTTTTAGGACCTAAAATATTACTCTCAAAGCTAAGATGCAATCAAAAATGTTTCTATAATGTAAACGGCTTTAGTCAAAAGACTACCGGTCATTTTCCCGATAGGCCCTGTCCCGAATACCTTTTTCCCGAAGGTCTATGTACAAATTGACTGATCAACAACTTTTATATCTTTTAAATGTTGCATGTTTCCAGTCCTAATCACTGAACCATATTTCTTATTATATATAAATTAATATCAAATTATTTAAAAATATAAGTTATAAATTTTCTAACAATTTATGACAATTTAATGCGGTATTTAGGTTTTTTTTAATAAAAAAATTTTTTTAACTTATCGCTTTTAAAACGTTTCTGTATGTCTTATAGGAAGACAATAAAATTGTCTTTATTTAAAACTCCAAGAATGTCTTCATCACAAACTGAACCTAAGAAAACATTTTCAAATAAGAACTTTATAAAACACTAATTTTTGCCATGACTCCATATAAAATGTGTGACAGGAAAGTACTACCAGAGTTCCAAAAATTAACAGCAGAAATTGTTATGTATGTAGCTATTATATGTTTTAAGTAGAACAAATTATATAAAACATTATGTTCAAAATAATATTCAGATGATATCCATCATGACAATGTTGTTCTAAAACACCCATAGTCATGTTACAGATTAAATTTATGAATAAAAACAGCTAGACAAACCAAGATTTAAGTTTTGAAATATTATGTCGATTTGATACAATTTTTATTCGATTTTGATTCCCATCTTCAATATACAGTGAATCATACTATATTTGAGAATAAATGAAATAAAAATATTCTAAAATGTGAATTAGTTGAATATTTCTTTTTCGGCCAATTTGCAAAGGCAGTTGAATTATTTTTCTCTGATGTTTAGGTTCGCACATTGTATATAGGTAGGTACATGGGTTTGAACCCACTTTGAACACGTCACTGAGCTTCCTCAGGCTCCGCTCCGTATCCGTTCACCAATTTGACTGCAAGGTCTAGCAGGCCTTCTGGTCCCAGTAGTTGTGCGTAAACCAGCACACGGGTTGGACTGGTATATAGATTTTTGTACAGTAGCGCTTGGTATTGTTGAATCCCTTTATTTTGAGTACCAAAGAGTACATTGACGTCAAGTCTTTTACATTCTTACGTTCTTCCTAGTCGTACAGTTACGGAGTGATGTGCTCTATAAAACGATCATTTTCTATTAATGATAATTCGTGATTTTTATAATATTTATATGTAGTTTCATGAAAAAGCTATGTGTGAAGTTATTTATTCATATGGGGTTTTTTTTAATTAAAACAGTGAACGTGTGGAATTTTAGAGAATTTTAATCAAAATCAAAGGATATAGTCAAATGTTCAACATCATGGAGTAAGTTATTTACGAATTCTATAATCACATTGAATTATTCAAAGTCTTTCGTCAACTTTTAAAAATAAAACTAAATTTTAATTTATATTTTTATTATTATTAATACTATAATGTAAATTCAACTTTTCGTCTGTTTAAAATTTTATTTTATTTAGTCCTAGAGACTGAATGGACCGAAGGTCATTTCATTCATCCAAAAATATAATTAAATTTTAACTGTAACAGTTAATACAGTTAGTTACAAAAAAATTACATTTACTGAAAGTTAAAAACTTTGTGTAAGTATCAGGTGAAAAAACCAGTTTTTAACAAACTTGCTTTAATTTGTAATAACTCTCTAATAACTCTCTAAATCTGATTAGTCGATTCCCATTAGTGAAATATAAATATAGAAAACACTCTTATTTAACACGTTAATTTACAGTTATCAATTTAATTAATTGTTTTTATTCACTGTTAAACTGCTTATAAATTATTTGTTTTATATTTTTTTATTACAGGCAAAAGATTTACTTTAATTGAATGAATTATGAATAGAGGTATTATAAGTTACATTGAAATGTTATAAGTATAAGTTACAAAAAAGTTAAGAAACAACCCGTGATTCCAGTTCTAGATGGTTAGAACCTTAGTTATAAACAAGTTGTCGAGAGTATAAAATGTTTCTATGTAGCATCCAACAGTTGACTAATATACACTCGCAGAAAAATTTTTTTATCCTGAATACAGTTCTTTTTTTATCCCCTAACTCAACTCTTTTAGTAGACAGATTTTGTCATCCTTAATTTTATTTTAGTGTATGACATTTATAGCTTTAACACAAAAGTAGCTCTTAAAATAACAATATACCTGATATTAAGGATGTTCTCTGCTAATTTTTTTTTTTTGAAGTATAGATTTTCTTTTCAAGTTTCTTCTTCATTGTAATAAATCCAATAATAAGAAAAATTAGAGTATTATTGCTATATAATTTTAGATAATACCTGATAATATATAATAACAATAAACTAGAATGAGTACAAAATTAGTTTTTGTCTAATATAAGTTTATAGTTTAAAATTATTATAATTAATATAAGAGAACGCTATATACAGTTTTCTCTTGTAACTGCAAGGTATTTTATATACTTCTTTGTTACTGCAAACTAACGTCATTAAATAATAATGATAACAATAAATTTCAACACATAAGAGGTGAAAAATGTAAAAAAATTAAATATTTCCTTGGATAAATCTGCGTTAGTGAAAAAAGAAACACTAATTTACATTATAATACCATTCATTACTAACTTTTAGTCATCTTTCGCTAAAACTTTAGTGAAGAAATTAGAGTTGCTAAAGACCTTATTGCATTTAGACTGAAATGTTAATTTTTAAAAGGAATTATGTTAAAGGTTGTAAATTTTAAGTAGTCTGGAATTATCAAAAGTTTCTATGTTATCACCTATATTTAAAACATAAGGAACATTTTTCTAATTTGAAGAAATATGAAAAAAATACCTTTTTTAAAAGTAGCAGCCGAAGACCTATGAAATCAATTTTAAAAAACTTAGAATAATAGTTTTATTTCTAAAAAAACTGAAAAACTTCTAAATTTCATTTTCATCGGTAAAAGAACATTGATCATTAACAAATATTTAAGAATATTTTAAAACTATGTTCAAAAAATGCGATTATTTCGAGTTTTTTTCAAGCTCTAAATCAGAATTAGTTACTTTTGACTAAAGAAATAAAATCGGATTAAGAAATTCTTATTAATTAAGAAATTAATCGGCCCAATTCATTCATTAAATAAATTAGTAAGCGTTTTGACTAATTTTTGGTAGAAAATACTGCAAATTCAGATTTACAGACGATATATGTATTGCAACAAAATATTGTTTCTCTGATAATGACAAACATTTTTATTTTTTTATTAAAAAAAATATTTATTTAATTAAAATTCAATCCCGTATTATTATTTTCATTACTACAACCATTGTTTACATGATTCTTTATGTTTTTTATTGTTGTAGATTATGTAAATGCAATATTATAAATAAAAAACCAAACGGCATGTTTTCCAAATCTTAGCTCAAATGGCAGGTTTTTTCAGTATTTTTTGAAACGGCAGGTTTTTCACGAATAGTCTGAATTGCACCTTTCTTCACCCAACCGACGACTTGGAAATGTAAACTTCCTGCAATTTTTTTTTTGAAAAATATTATATGTTAAATATGTTTAATCATAAAGAGTAGACGTGAACCCAAAAACATCATGAGCTCAACTTTTAAGTCCAAGAAATGTCAAAAGACTTTCTTTCTATAATATGTTAGGTTCATATAAAGCGAGTTTTTCAACAATCAGCAAGTATCTCCAATAATTAACATAGTTGACAAGTATAATTCATTTTTTGAATATGAAATGAACCACCTTTCTTTAAATAACCTTAAACCAAGAAAAATATACTGCATTAAAAGAACAAAACATTTCTGTAAAATTCATATACTTTTATTTTACAAATTTTTAGTTTATAAAAATTTGCTTTTCAATAAATAATGTTTATTCTTTTAATATATAAAAATACATAGCATAGAAAAAGTCATAGACATTATTCGGTAGGCAGCCCCAGGCGGAAATTTCCAACCGGCGCGGATCCTAGCCCGTACTGACGCCGGTGTAACTGTACTGGCTCGGAACCGCCTGCCAACCGAATGTGAACGGGCATTCTACCGAATAGTGACTAGGCCAGGAGCGCGCTGGCAACCGGCTCGGAACTGGCATTCTACCGCCCGCTGACCGGCCGGGAGAAGCCGTTCCGTGTATAATTCAACCGGCTGGGACCTGGCACTCTACCGACCGCGGATTTTTCATTTAATAGCCAACCGAGCGCTGGCATTCTACCGACTGACAACCGGATCGGATCCAAATGATAATTTCAACAAATATCAATAAAAAAAATAATAATTAATTGCAAAAGATAAATACTGATGACAATTCATTGACAGTTCACTTTACACATTTTTTTTATTTTTTTATACACTTAAACGTAATTTGTTATTACATACACATTTGAAAAATCCTAACGCTTGGAGGTACGAACCTACGCCTAACCGAATATTTACGCACCGAAATCTCGCACGCTAACCACTATGCTACGCTCGCATGGGACTCTCAAATCTTAAATACTCTCAAGTGTCACAAGCTGAAATAAAACTTGTCGAATAACTACGCGTCAATGCTACAGCTATATTTTTATTATTATTTAATATATTAAATAATAGTATCTCAATATAATAATATTGAACATAATAATATTAATAATTTTAATTAATATCACAATAATAATAAATTTATTATTATTGAGATATTATTAATTAACATTAATATTATTGAGAATTAATAATAAATTATTAACATGAATATTAATATTTATTAATATTAATAATTTATTATTAATTCTCAATAATATTAATTAATAATATCTCAATAATAATAAATTTATATTAATAGTATAAATTTATTTATAATAATTATAAACTATAAGTGCACAACAAATTTTTTTAATTGCTTAATTTTGAAAAAACTCTTAATAAATAATTACTTAATATTTTGATTAAATTCATTTATTAATTAATCATTATTTTCTAAAATAATGCAATTAATTATTGTAATAATTATTTAGTTATGACACATTTATTGAAAATAAATTTATAATGTGATTTATAATGTGACAATAAATGACGACATCCGCAGTCGGATCCGGCCCAGCACCGAGCCAGTACAGACTAAACATATTCGTCATTCTTCCGACGCCGCAGAAGAATAAGATCCGCCGGCGGAAGAAATCCAGTACCGAGCCGGTACTGACAATAGTGGGAAGACGGTTCCGACAGTCGGAGCATAATCTGTACCGCGCCGGTTGCTTTTTCAGATCCGAATCGGTACAGACCGTCGGTACTTGCGGTCTGTACGGGCGCGGATCCCAGCCGGTTGTAAATTCCGACATTCGTCCGACTTTTCCGCCTGGGGCGGAACAGCAGAGCCTAACAAAAAAACTTCATACCGTTATTTACGAATGTCTCATATGAATAAAAATAATTTAGCTAATATATTATTCTTAAGGTTTTTGAATACTAATTCGACAAACTGCTTTCATTCATAGACAATTGAAATTTTTAATCATACAAATTTGATAGAATAGATTCATTTCAAGTTTTTCCGTGACTGTGCGTACAATGTGCAATATGAGCTAGCGTAACAAAACTATAAAAACAAACAGCAGAATTAACTTTAATGCACCTTCACTTAATAATTTAGAGAAAAAGTATCAGAATATTTTATTTTCAATATTTTAATCATACAGAAAATACATAGTGAAAAAATATAAAAAAATTAATTGATTTATTTTTAACATAGCCCAATATAAAATCTTAATGAAAATTCCTTAAAAACTTTAAGAATTTTTTATTTAATAAATAAAAAAATGAATAACAAACGATTGGAATCGCACTTTATTTATTTTAAATGGCATCTGAAATATATTATTTTTAAAGTATAAAATTCTACAGTTGAAAATATAATCATTAACTGTCCAGAATATTTGTATACATGTGTATGTCTGTATGTTTAAAGATTATCCTTCAGAAATGGAAATTTTTTCTTTTTATTTTTTTAAATGAGAAAAATTTCTGTGACTGTCTCTTCAAAGAAAGTGACGTTGAATCTCCAAGCCTTTAGCTCTCATGCGGAACTACCGTTACATATACTATATTCGGGTCCGTAATTATTTTTAAAAATTCACAAGAAATCATCTGTTATAACGATTGAAATTCAATCGAGTGATTGCTGAAAATAATCTCTATGCTACATATTCTAATATTCCAAATATATTAATTCTTTAGTACACAAAAATCAAGGTATTTATTTTTAAATTCAATATTGTGTGAAATAAAATTGAATAGAAAACAACAAATATTGTTAATTTAGGATTTAAGTTTATGTACCTTGTAAATCTGGATC